GGGCAATATGGTCTGAACGCTGGACTCAAATGACACCGTGAAGTTTGAGTATTTTTTTTTTCTGAATACCGGCCATATAACACTGATTCAAGTTTAAAGTTACAAACGAATATTGACGTAACCCTCGCGGATCTGATGACCAATTTCCGTAAATGTTATTATTAGCAACAAGTTCTCAGTTAATAACGATCCGTAGAGTGAAAGTTTAACGTGCTTTGATTATTATCTACTCCGGATCCATTTGGCCCTAATAGCTAAATGTTATTACTTTACTATTTGATGAAATCAGGTGCGATTCCTACATTTTAGGAAAACAATGTAAAATTACAGCCTATACTATATGAAGCATTGATTTGTGAAAAGAGAAAAAATGTCAGTTGTTGGCTATATGTTCCCGCACAACTGATTTTGTACCCTCAGTTTTACAAGGAAATGTCTACACAACCCGCCTTGCAGAGCTCAAGTAGGGGTCATGTTGAACTCGCGCTGACTAAAACCTCATGGTGTTCCACCTTCGTCGCATATTGGCAGGGCTCTGGGAACGCTTTCTCAAACGTACGCAGCCTAACCAACGCTCCATGACGGCACCTCGGATTTTGGGAGAGGACAACTCCTCCCATTCTTGTTCTTCCGGCAAGACATGACGAAACATAAGGTGCGCCTTGGCTTCTATTTCCAGAAACATAAATAGATAACGAATTATACATCTAATACACTAAACTCAATTACAATATGAGTTAAACAATTACAATTGTTTAACTCATATTGTAATTGATTATGTCAAGCGGTATTACAAAATATTTTTGTAAATTGATCATAATTTTATTACTTCCGAACCATATACATTGTAATAAATTAATAACAAACCATACTAATATATGGAAAGACAAACATACTATGTATCAAATCGCAGAAATATGTAGCCTTTTCCATGTGCGTATTATAAAAATATATAATCCCCCTCGTGCTCTAATCCAAAGTCTCGAAACCTTTCAGCTGGAATTATAAAACCGTTTTCAGTGCCTAGAAGATTGCAATGCAGTGGACGATATGAATGAGAAGCTCGTGGAAACTGTCCATGCGGCCGGAGATCAATTCTGCAAGACCCTCCGCAGAAGAACACAAAAACTCTCCGATCACATTCTTAATCTCATGGCAGTTAGACGGGAAATGAAGCTGCATTCTTCAACAGATTTGACAGCATACAGGCAACTGAACAAACAGATCTCCAAATGCATGCGGCGGGACTTACGCAACTTCAATACAGCTTGTATTGAAGAAGCGATCGAGCGGAAGCAGGGCTCCAAAGTCTTTGCTAGAGATCTGTCTGCCAGAAAGAGCCAACTGTCAAAGCTGAAGACCGAGTGTGGCAGTATCGTTTCCGGGACACCTGAGATTTTGAGTGAGATTGAGAGGTTCTATGGGCAGCTGTAAATGTCATCGTTGGAGCCACACGCAAGTGTGAGTAATGATCCAAGAGCGAGTCTTATCCGACACTATACCGAAGATATTCCGGACATCAGTCTGAGTGAGATTAGAATTGCTCTCCAGCACCTTAAAAAAAGAGAGGCCCCCTGACGAGGATGGAATTACAGCGGAGCTTCTGAAAGCAGGTGGAAAACCGGTACTTGGAGTCCTCCAGAAGCTTTTTAATTCCGTCCTCCGTGGTGGGACTACTCCGGAGGTGTTGAGCAGAAGTGCGGTGGTCTTGTTCTACAAAAAAGGCGACAATGCTCTCTTGAAGAACTGCAGACCTATTTCCCTTCTGAGCCGCGTCTACGTGCTGTTTTCGGGAGTCATTACGAATCGTCTCACATGCAGACTCGACGACTTTCAGCCTCCTAACAAGCCGGTTTTCTTAAAGGCTTTAGTACCATAGACCACATACATATCCTTCGGCAAATTGTACAGATGTCCGAGGAGTACAATTTGCCACTATGTCTGGCGTATGTGGACTATAAGAAAGCCTTTGATTCTTGAGCCGTGGTCCCTCCCTGCTGGCCGTATGAGGAGGACGCTCAAGGTCTCTCAGTGAGCTATGGAGAGGACTATGCTTGGAGTTTCTTTGCGTAATAAACTTAGGAATGAGGATATCCGTAGTAGAACCAGAGTGACTGACAAAGCTAAACGGATTAGTAAGCTGAAGTGGCAATGGGCCGGCCACATAACTCGAAGAACCTGCAACCTATGGGGAAAAAAAGGTTCTCGAGTGGTAGCCTCGTACCGGTAGGCGAAGTGTAGGGCAACCCCCCACTAGATGAAGTGACGACCTGGTAAGACATGCAGGCAGTCGATGAATGCAGGTGGCTCAGGACCGTGCTTTGTGACATAACTTCGGGGAGGCCTATATTCAGCAGTGGACTTGTGAAGAGCTGTAATGATGATTATGATGACACTTCCGTTAGCACCAGCCATCTCAGCCCCAGTGTCAATCCTGATCGCGGAGGCACTAATTCCCCCCCCCCCCCCCCCGCAGCCATGACTGAAGGTGAGAGGATAACCCTTCTGCCGCAGTGTACCAACGCGGAGTAAGCTCTTTGCGCGAATTAAATTAATTGTTCGTACCGTAATTGATCGCAAATATCATTTGGAAATGTTTTACAATCGTGTGCTTGTTGGATTACGCAAATATTGAAATAATGTTTCATAGATTCTGTACAGTCACGTTTATTACTGATACAGTCTAAGTGCACTGAATTTCGAAATGGACAGAGAGCAAAAGTGAGAGGCCTGTGAAGCCCCAAGTGACGCCCTGAGGTCTAAATTGTTTATAGAAATCAGATGGTAGCCGCTAGCCTAGAGTGTTAGTAGGTAGACTATTGATATTATAATTATTAGTGCTATATATTGATAAAAAAAATATTGACTTATCTCAATGAAAATCAATTTTATGACCTCAGAGATTATTTGTTAAATGTAAATGATATTTTTTAATGAATTAATAATCTTTGTTTATTTATGATTTTATATGTTTTAGTCTAATTGTTTGGTATTTTGATTAGAAAAATTTCATTTGTATATGTGCTATTTATGTAAATTTGCATGCTATTTACAATAACATAGCAAAACATTTCGTGCTTTAAAAATTGTGCCATCCTTATGTTTCCATGTTTTATGCAAATATTTTTATTAAATAAATAACCAATTTCAAAATGTTATAATTTACATCACAAAAATTTACGAATTTTTACACAAAAAAGTTCATCCATCCATCCATTACAGCCTATAAAAATCCTCTGTTGAACATAGGCCTCTTCAGTAGATTGCCTCATAGATTGTCTATAGTGGCAACGCTTGGCAGACAGGTTAGCAATCACACAGGTTTTTATTATTTTGATTAGTTATTAGGCAGTAGCTCCTATTTCAATTATTCTATGTCGCCTTTTATGATATCCACGGGACGATATGTGGTAGTGTAAATTCTTACACCGCCACTACACGGTATATACACACATAATGTGACATCAGAAATTTAAATTTAATTTTTGTTACATTTGAAAATTGGACTGAAATGGACTCAAAGTACAAAATAACTGTATTATTTTTACGTCATTGTACTATAACAAGTGGTAAATTTAAAAATTTTGTACAACCTACTTCAATAAAAATAAAATTATTTATTGTTGTTTTTTTTTTAAATCGCTCGACCGAATTCGATAAAATTTAAATGGAACCACCTGGCAAGTATACCCTTTGAAACAAAAAAAATAATATTCCAAATATGTTTAACCGACTTCCAGTAATCGGTGAACATACATAAAAAAAAAGATTTCGACGAATTGAAAACCTTTTCCTTTTTGGTAGTCGGTTGATAAATACCTATTCCACGTCTCTATACTCTCCTCTCCTGCTGTAATCCAATTAAGAACACTTTGATGTTGGGAATTTCTAAATTTAGAACTTAATTATTTTTCTTTTTTTTTTTAATATTCTATATCAGTTACTTAATACTAGAGATTCGCCGAATATTCGTTTGGTATTCGGTATTCGGCGTATTCGGCACCTTATTCACTATTTGTATTCGGTCGAACTATTCGTTTTTGGTACCGAATATATTCGGTTCAAATATTTCAGTTTTCTTATCTATTTATTGTTCACAGACTATATAGATAGAACAAGAACACATAACTTCTGTAGTGAGATTTATGTTAAAGCAAAAATGCTAGTTTTATCCCTACTTTTGCAGTGTATGAAGAATGTGTTGGAGAAGGTAATAAAATAAAGCAATTAAACCTCAAATCAACATTTATTTTTAATGAACACCCTTATGTGGCTAATTGACAAGGCAATATTCTTATGTGAGATCAAATATAAAAGAAAAATTAATATTTTAGTATTTGTAATTTATCAAGGGTAAGTTATGGTGCAGTGACACCAAGCTCTCAGCCCTCTCTGGCAATAGTCTGTTGCGTTTCTCCTCGTAAAGGTTTCCTGCTTCTGAAAATAATCTTTCGCTATAGACACTGCTACCAGAAGCACTTAGAAATACTCTGGCTAAATTAGCTAACTGTGCGTATTTAAATTTATGCTTTGCCCACCAATCAAAAGGGCTCTGGTTTCTAGGTAGAAGACTTTCAGCTACATAACTGTCCAATTCCACGGCAAATGGGCTTTTAGGATCTTCGTAAATGACAGGGTTCGTCGAGGCAAGAGTTCTTCATAACAGTTCCTAAATGCTATATGCAATTCCTCTAAAAAAGTTGTAACATCTTGTAGAGGTCTTCCTCTATTTGTTTCAACTTCATCTTCGCCTGAGCTTTCAGCATCAGTGTCGCTTCTTTGAATGGCTTTGAATGCGAACTAGTAAGAAAAAGCTTTTTTCTTACTAGTTCGCATTTTTCGGGAGCAAAAAATCTCATTCTAAATCTGGGGTCCAACAATGTAGACAAGCAATAGTATTTGTCTATCTTCCAAATTTCGAAAACGACTCTGAAGTTCTTCTTGTAGCTTCTGTACCATTGATAGTATATTGGGACATATATGTGAAATTGCAGGCTTTATTAAAATTTGATGAGAGTGTTACTGTGGGGAATCACTTCAGAAATTGACGAAAATGTAGAGCTGGTAATTTTGGTGATATCTTCAAACGGTTTTAATAAAATTAGACATTCTTTGAGAATCAGCCGCTGCCTTTCAGTACAGTTTCGAATATTTACTGTGCTAGAATTGTCCGAAATGTAAAGTGAAATTGCACGCTTCTGTTCAACGATTCTTTCCAACATATAATACGTGCTGTTCCACCTCGTTGTGACATCCTGTACAGGCTGATGCTCAGCAAGATTCAGTTCTTTCTGGATATTTTTCAGCTTTTCTTGCGCCGTGCTTGAGTGGTTGAAGTGTGTCACTATACTTCTAGCAGAGGTCAAAGCATCATTTACGTTTGCAACCTGTAATGAAGCTTTAATCGCCAATTGTAACATATGTATACACCCCTTGCCTACAAACAGACTTTCATTAATGGCTTTCAGGATGTTGGGACCATTATCTTTCATAATCACGTGGATAAGCGAAGTTATGTCCCCAGTTGCAGATAAGTCTTCTAAAACAGAACGAATATGATAACCTGAGTGAGACTCAGTAAAATGTTTCATTTGCAGAGTTCTATGCTGTAAAACAAAGTCCTTATCAAGCCAGTGTGCAGTGAAGCTTAGAAAGTTAAGCATGTTGTTCAAGCAAGTCCATATATCAGATGTAAGTAATCGAACAGCCTTGGCTTTTGAGATTTCATCCTTGATCAATTTTTTCACTCTTTCATAAATCGCTGGAATCACTACTTCGCTCATATACTTCCTACCAGGCAACTTATATTTAGGCTTCAATAAATGCAATAACCTGTTAAATCCTTTATTTTCCAGAATCGAAATTGGTTGATTGTCAGTGGCAAACATTTCAGCGATGGCATTATGAATTTCCTTTGATTGTGGGTCTGTTATGTCCCAATTTGTAATAAATGCCTGCTCTATAGATTGTTGTGATTTTACACTTGATGTTATTGGCAAAGTGTCTGAGCTATGTTCAGAAGCACTTTCAGAAGTAGACGTGGTTGCTGGAAGTTGTTCTTTATGCTTCAGCTTCCAATGATTTGACATACCACTCGTCAAAGCGCTGCGGTCTGATCCAGCGCAAGAAACAACACAACTACATAAAGTGCAAGTTTTCAACAGTGGTAGAGCCACGCGGCAGCTTTTGCTGTCGCACGGATGGGCCGGCTCGAACCGGGGTGGTACCACAACCTCAGAGAATACCAGCGTGAAGTAGAGGTTTACCTCTGCGTTTCACTTGGTGAGTGCAGGTGGCCGGAGGGCCTTTTTACTGGAAATGAGGCATTCCATCTTAGTCCTCACGGGTGACAACGCATCTGCATTTTGATTTGTAATAGAGGATATGTGTAGATGTCTATGGGCCGCAGCATCCACTTACCATCAGGTGGACTGTGTGCTCGTTTGTCACCCTTATCCTATAAAAAAGTGTAATTCACTTTTGTTTTGTCATCTTCTATTTCCTTTTTTTTAAAAAGTTTTAAAAAGTCCCATGCACGTGATCTTTTACGTCCACTAATAATGCAAACACAATATAGTCAATATAATCATTTTTTTTATTATAATAAACACATTTGTTATTAATTATAACATAATCGTGCAATGTTTCAAAGCAAAATGCCAGAACGCGGTACGCACGGGTAGCAAGCGGTGTGGTGAGGTACGGCTCGCTCATCGTCTAGCTAGCGAGTAGCGACACGCAGCAGACATGTAAGAACCTGTTTATGCTGCAAAACAATGAAATCGCAAACCGAATAATACGGCTGAATATCCGGTTCGGTACAGGTTAAACCGATTAGTATTCGGTATTCGGTTATTCGGCAAAATCACTATTCGGCGCATCTCTACTTAATACGCTCGATAAAATTTTAGGTGACAAAACTAGTTCCGTATCTTCATTAATTAGACCTGTAGGTGTCGTAAAAGGCGACAATAAAATTAACAGAAAGGATTCATTTTATTCAACAGACAGCATTATTAGTACATTTTATCTTTTTTTTTAAACGTTACCTCCACACTAGGATTTTCTCCTGTATCGTGGAGGTAGTTTACAAACACAAATTGCACAAGGACAAACATTCAGACCCGGAAAAATTATTTGTAGGCCATACCATTACTTGTTCCGTGCGGGATTCGAACCTGCGGCTCTTGGCGCTGCAACTAATTGCTAAGCCACTGTGCTTGACGCTCCTCCCCTTTGCCCCAGTGACTCACACACAAACTACCCAGTTCTTTCGGAAGTCACGAGACTCCACGAAATTTAGTAATGAATTCTTTTAGTTCGCCATCACAAAACGGGTTACGATCATTTCGTGGGCTAGATGTAAAATACCCTCAACAGTCCATAGACACCTACTAACACTAAAGGATATGTAGGTATCTATGGACTGCTAAGATATTGACTAAATGTGATTAATGATAATAATATGATGAGGTTAATGACTATCGAAGGATAATAACCACAATGTGGCAGCGTTGTCACCCCTGAGGACTAAGGTGAAATGCCTCGTTGTCAGTGAAAGGGTCACCAGTTCAGTACACAGACCATACGAAACACAGCAGCATTAAAAAGCTATTTTACGCTGGTGTTACGTAAGATTGTGAGCCAATATTTCCAGTGTAACAGATCAATTATGTTTGCCATGTAGTGGCGGTGTAGGAATATCCACTACCCCAGAACATCCCTTGGGTGTCGTAAGAGGCGACAATGGGAAGCAAACCAGGAGACGGGCAGCATCGTATGCCTTATAATAACTAAAAAAACTCTGGTTGCCAACCCGCCTGATAAGCGTGGCAGTTATGGTAAATATCTCTTATAGGAGTCAGTCTATATGTTCAGCAGTGGACTTTGAGAGGCTGTAAAAGTAACAGTGTTTATTTTTAACGAGGTTATTTTATAGGAGAGGAGGCTTTCTTTTACGTGGTAGAGCCATGCTGCAGCTATATTACTAGTATAATTGTAGCACGAATGGGTCGGCTCGACCGGGGAAGCAACACGCTCTCACAGAATACCAGCGTAAAATAGCGGCATAACACTGCTGTGTTTCGTATGGCGAGTGTAGATAACCGGAGACCCTTTTTACTGGAAACGAGGTATTCCATCTTAGTCCTCACGGGTGACAACATCTACGTTTCGATTTGTAATCGAGGATAGATGTAGATGTGTATGAGCCACAGCAACCACTTGCCATTAGGTGGACTGTGTGCTCGTTTGTCGCCCTAATTCTATAAAAAAACGCAAACGAGCATGCGGCTCAACTGATGGTAAGTGACTACTGCCGCCCATGAACTACTGCAATATCAGGGGAGTTGCAGATGCATTGCCGGCCTTTTAAAAAGGAGTAAGCTCTTTTCCCTAAGTCTTATCGGTCCGGAAAAATCGCTGGTGGTTATTGATTAATTGGTACGTCACTATACTTTCGTGAAATTAGTGACGTACCAATTAATCAATAACCACAGCGATTTTTCCGGACGATAAGACTTAGGGAAAAGAGCTTACTCCTTTTTAAAAGGCCGGCAATGCATCTGCAACTCCCCCTGATATTGCAGTAGTTCATGGGCGGCAGTTAGTCACTTACCATCAGTTGAGCCGCATGTCGTTGCGTTTTTTTATAGACTTTAGGGGACTAAACGAGCAACAGTCACCTAATGGAAGTGGATGCTGTAGGTCCATACATATGTACATCTATCCTCGATTAAGAATAGAAACGCTAGATGCTTGTCACCCGTGAGGACGAAGATGTAATGCCTCATTCCCAATATAAAGGGTTTACGGATCTCTACACTCACCATATAAAACATAGCAGGATTAAGCTGTATTTTAAGCAGATATTTTGTGAGAGTGTTATGCTTCCCCGATCAAGCTGACCCTATCCTGCTAAAACTGTAATATAGCTGCAGCATGGCTCTACCACGTATAAGACCATGATCCATGACCCAGTGGAAGGTTCGAGTAAAGCTGGTTCCAACAATTTTTTCACACATAACGAAAACTGCCACCAAAACCATAAGTGAAGTTTAATAGTGAAACGGATTGCCATCCTTTCACACACATATATATATATATATATATATATATATATATATATATATATATATATAATTTTTCGCGATATTATCAACATAAAAGGTTTTATGAGATAACGATTATTTATTAGAAGCCTATCTTAACCGAGTACTAGTTGGTCAAGTCTTACTTAGAACATAAACAGACAGACACATAGATAGCAACTTGCTTGAGGAAACGCTTTCTGTTCCCAACTTGGAAGATCAAGCAACTAGTGGTCTTGTTTTGTCGGCTTAATGAAAGTATTGTGTGAGGCGTACATACTTACATACTTTGAAATATAGCTGTCTTACCATAAATTATGTTACAATTACAAAGCCAAAATTTTATTTTTTAAATTACTAGCTGTTCCCGGTATGCGTTGCCATGTCTTTTTCAACCGACTTTAAAAACGAGGAGGTACTCAATTCAACTGTATTTTTTGAGTATTAACTCATAACTTTTTTCTCGGTGAATCGATTTATAGGATTATTTTTTTACTTGAAAGCTGGTATATTTCATATGGCCTAATTTTAAATTTGATCAAAATCTGGGCAGTGGTTTTTGAGTTATAAGCTGGTGCTATATGTGGATTAATTTTAAATTTGATCAAAATCTGGACAGTAGTTTTTGAGTTTACGTTAATAATGCGTATTTAGTTGACTTCGAGTACATTGACGATGTTTTTATTTTATTTACATTGAAGTCGGTTGTACATTTTTTTTTTAATTTTACCACTTGTTAAATTACTAGCTATGTCTGTATGTGTATGTGTGTAAGCGAAATACCACTGACTGACTCATCATGATATCTCTCAAACTATACACCCGATTGACTTTAAATTTAATACAGTGACTCATTTCTGTATATGTCTAAATCTGTATATATATATATATATATATATATATACTACAGTTATATATAGATTTCGAATATAGTTATTTTGATTGAATTATACAAACATTTTTTTCACTGTCATCCTCACCTGCTTATTGTGCACTCTTATGGTTATAAAGGTCGCGGCTTTAACGACTGATTGATATCGAAAATAAATTCTAAGATCAGAACAGTATCTATATGCATCCGATGTAGAGCCGATTGGTGTTCTCGGCATCAGAAGTCTCACAACTTTGTTGTTTGTCATCCACAAAATGGTTATACTAGTAACTATTGGAAGCCATCTCTAGTAGTATCTAAGAGTACAGAGTACAGGTGGTATATGAATATCCACTATCCCATATAGTCCCGTGTGGGTAGTAAGAGATGACACAGGGAAACAAACCAGGAGGTGGGCAGCAGCGTCTTTCAAATAACAACTAGAAAATAAAAAAACTCCGGTTATCAACCCGCCTACCAACCGTGGCAACTATGGCAAATTAAGAGGAGACCTTTGGTCAACAGTAGATTTTAATAGACTAGTATGGATCCACAATTCCACGGATTCTGTAATTCATTCATGGGACTTATGACAGAGTCCTAGAAAACATACAAGATCTATTTACAAGTATTTTTTTTTTATAAAACAATAACTGTATAAAAATGGTTATTTTAATATAAATGAATAATCAACAATAACCTCTAGAAATGAGTTGATCGCTTTAAAGCTTTTTATTAAATAGGTTTGCAAGTAATGCGCCCAAAAAGGCACGTATGGCAATTCACAATGTTGTGTTTGTCACTACTTTAATGTATGGTAGTGAAAGTTGGGTGTGGCAGAAGAAGCACTAGAGTAGAATAAATGTTGTACAAATGCGGTCATTAAGTAGTATGATGTGATAACTGATGAATCTGAATGACACAGTGAGAAATTGTGTGATAAGAGAAGAGTGTGGTTTGCAAGATGATGTTGTGACCAGGATTAAGAAAGGAATGCTTTGGTGGTTTGGTCATGTAGAAGGAATGAATGAGGAAAGAGTGACAAAGCAAATTTATGTTGCAGAGGTGAACGGCAGAGTCGGGAAGGGACGCACTAGGCGAAAGTTTATCGACCAAATTGGCGATATAT